CAGCCCCTCCCCCAGAACTGATGCTCGTCCTCGTTCGGGCTCCTGTTTTTGCTGTTGCGGGCCGTGTAGCTCTCGCTGACATTGTCTTCTTTGATCGTCTCTGTGGCCGCGGCTTGGCCGTTGGCGTTGTTGCCGCTCGCCGCCGTCAGGAAGTCGTTCAGAGTCCATCGCCCAGTTCATCGATGCTGCAACTGTCGCGGCATCGTCTTTCTGCCATTCCGCCGCAATCTCTTGGGCGCCCCCCATGGGCGCCAGCCCCGCGGGGATGCCCGGTGGCCCGAGCAGGTGCCCCCCGCCTCTCTCCCTGACAAATTACCCGTGACAGTGGTGCGCTGCCATCGCGACTTCCGAGACGCCCAATTGCTGACTGGCGCGAGGTAGAAGTCCGCGGCCGCGCGGTCGATCGCTGGGGGGGGGAAAGGAAGAGCAACGCAGGAAAGAAACACATTGCATGAACCCCCATTCCCAGACCCTTCCAATCCAAACTCTTTTTCCGTGCAAAACCAACCCTAAGCCCATAATCCGCCCCGGCCCGAGCGCCCTCTGTGCGGGATCTTCCCCGCCGCCAAGAATCCTTCCCAGCCGGAGCGTGCTATGCGTAAGAATCCACCCCAACCCCAAAACGCAGAGCCCTTCCCAACCCAAACGCATTCTTCACGGCGCCCGCCCTGGCCCCGGGATGCGCCCCAACCCATGCGTCTTCTTTGTGGCGACATCCCGAGTCGCAAAATGCCCCCGCGGCGCGCGCGTCTTCTGCGCCGGGCCCCCCGACCGCGCAACCCTTCCAGACCAGGGCAATTTCTGTTTCAAAAATCCCCCCGAGCCCAAAATCCGCCCCAACCCAAGCGCTTCAGTGTAAAAACCTTCCTAACCGAAGCGCTTTATGCGCAGATTCCCTCCCGGCCGCAATGCCCTTCCCCAGCCCGCGCGTCTCCTGCTCAAAAGCTACCCCCGCAATCCTGAACCCACGCGTCATCTGTATAAAATCCTCACTGGACCCAGAGCCCCCCTTGCCCCAAGCGTTTGGCGTAAAATCATTCCAAAACCGAGAATCATTCCCAACCCAGACGCTTCCTGTGCAACTTTACTCCAAACCCCAACATTCGCGTCTTTTTCTATAGAAAATCACCCCCAACACCAAAATCCTTCACAGCCCAAGCATCCCCCGCGCAGAATGATTCCCTAGCCCCAAGGCCTTCCCAACCCAAGCGTTTTCTACATAAAACCCGTATTAACCCCCAAATCATTCCCAACCCATGAGGCTTCCATGTAAAATTAATCCTGGCCCCAACATCCTGCCCAACACGAGCGCGTTATGTGCAAAATCCTCTCCATCCCAAAATCGTTGCCAACCATTGTGTTTTCTTGATAAAACCCTTCGCAATCTCATAATCCTTCCCAAACCAAGAGCCTTCTGTAAGAAAAAAACCCAGCCTCCAAAACCCTTACTAACCTAAGCGCTGTCTGGTAGCATTCGCCCAAAACCTCAGTCCTTATCAGCCCGAGCGCGTTCAAAGCAAAATTCCTTCGCAAACGCAAAGCCCTTCCCAACTCATCCGTCTTATGCGCGAAATCGTTCCCAGCCCACGCCCCGACATCCTTTCCCATCCAAGCGCCAGATTTGCAAACTCATCCCCAAAACAAAACTCCTTGCCAACCAGAGCGTTTTCTGTATAGAATCTCTCCAACCCCAAAATCCTTTCCGACCGAAGCGTCTTCTGTGCAGAACTCTCCCTAATCCCAGAATCCTTCTCAACCCATCAAATATTTTGCGAAAATCCTTCCCAAACCGAGAACCCGCCCCATTCCAAGCGTCTGCTGTACGGTCGGACCTAGGACAGAAGAACATCCCTCAAGAACTTGAGACCCTCCGCCAGCCCAACCACACAGAACATCCAAGGGTACCCTCCCCAGGATGCACAAGAGCATCCAACAAACACGAAGAACACTAGGGTACCCTCCCCGAACCGACCTCGATCTTATACCTTGGTTCGGCTGTATGAACTCCTCCCCATCCCCAACATCATTTCCAACGCGAGCGCTTCAATTCAAACCATGCCCCGATCGCGATATCCTTGCCGATCCGAGCGTTCCTTTGTAAATGCACCGCGGTCCTGCTCAACCCAGGCGCTTGTTGTTTGAAAACCCGACCAATGTAACAATCTTTCCCAGATCCAATGTTTTCTGTGCGAAACCATTCCCAGTCTCAGAATCACGCCGGACCCAACCATTTTCTTTGCAAAATTCCTCCCAACCCGAGAAGCCCTCCCAACCCAAGCGTTACCTTCCCCGCGTGAACATGATTTCCAACCCGCACGCGTTCTATGTACACTCTTCCGCGGCCTCATAATCCATCCCAACCAAAGCGTAATCCATGCAAAACCCGCCCCTAACCAAAGAACCGTCCAAACCCGCGGGTCTTCTGTGTAAAATCCTGCCCCCCAACCCAACAGTCTGTTATGCAAACTATGTTCCAACCAACCCTTACCGATCCAAACGTGCACTGTGTAAAATTATCTCCAACCCCAGAATTCGTCCCAACCCAAGCGTCGTCTGTGCAATATCCCCCCCCGGACTCATATCCTCCCCTATCCAATTGGTTACTGTGTGAACTCCGCCCTGGCCCCGGCACGCTTGCCAACCCAAGCGTTTTCTGTTTGGAAAACCTTGCCAACACCAAAGACTTCCTAACCCGGGCGTCGTTTGTGCAACATCTCTCCCAGTACAGCAAATTCTTTCAAACCCAGGCGTCTTCTCAACACCCCAAGCCTTCCCAGCCAGCTTGCTTTCTGCGTGCCCCCCACGTCCGCAAAATCATTGCTAACCCAAGCGCTTTCTCCTTGGATTCGCAATCCCTCCCACCCCTAAAACCCAAGCGTTTTCTGAGCAAAATCCCTCCCAACTCCACAACCCTTCCAGACCCAAGCGTCTGCTGCGCAAAACCCTTCCCAACCCCAAAGTCCTGTCCAACCAATGCATTGTTTGTGCAAGATCCTTCCCAACCGCGAAACCGTGCCCCACCAAATATTTAGCTGTGTGAAATCAGTGCGGGCACTCCTGGCCCAAAAACACTTATCACACCAAGCGCTTTCTGTCTAGATTCCTTCGCAACCCTAAAATCATTCCCAACTCGTGCACCTTCTGTGTAGAATCCTCCCCAATCCCCGAATCCTTCCCAGTCCAAGCGTGTTGTGCTAAACCCCTGTATCAGTTCCAAAAGCCTTGCCAACACACACGTCTTCTGTGCAAAATCGTGCCTAACCTCAGAAACTTTCCCAACATGGGCGCTTTCTGTGTAAATTCTTTCCCAGCCTGCGTAAAGCCCTTCCCAGCCCCAGAATCCCTTCCCAACTCCAGCGTGCTCTAGGCAAAATCCCTCCCAGCACACAAATCCTGCCCAACCCAACCGTCTTCGGTGCAAAATCCATCCCAACATCAAAATCGTTTGGAGCCCCAGGGTGATCGGTGTAAGATCGCACCAACCCCAAGATCCTTACCACACGAAAGCGTTTTCTGTGCAACATCTGCCTCAATCTCTAGATCCGTCCCAACCCACACTTTTTCAGAAACCCCGTCCCCACCCAGACCTTCTGCATGAACGCAATTTCCAAGCCCCAAATTACTACACATGAGTCATCTGTGTAGAACCATCCCCAACGACGAAATCATTAGCAGCCCGAGCGCTTTCTGTGCAAAATCTCTCCCAACCTAAGAACCCTCTCCAACCCCAGCGTTCCCTGTGCGAACCCCTCCACAATCCATAAAAACATCACCAACCCAAGCGTTCTCAGTGCAAACTCCTTCCCGACCCCAGAATTATTTTCAGCCCAAGCATGTTCTGTGCAAAATCCGCCCCAGCCCGAAAGTCCGTCTCAACTCAAGCGCTTTCTGAGCATAGTCCTGCCCAATCGCAGAGTCCTTCCCAACCCCAGCGTTCTGATTTGAATTCCTGTGATTCGGAATCCATTCTTGGCTTCTTGTTCAAATTAATCAAGGCCGTCTGCGCGCGGGCCTACATTATGAATGCTCGTCAGCATTCTTTCTGCACCTGCCTACGGCGTACTTAACGCCCCCTCATTGCGCACGGTGTGGCTATTGGACAAGGAACCCTTAGGTACAGGACCCAGGGCCTGGAGGCCGATGGAACTCCCATCGTGGAGTGGCCATGGACATCGCCGCCGCCCTCATCAGATAGGGAACCCTCCAAGGTCCGAAGCCTCCTGGGCACATTCCTTAAGGAACGCTCCCACCGTGACTGCCCGACCCGCCACCTTTGTGGATGCCCGAAGTGGGCACGGAAAGAATGGGCACAATGCCCAACAACAAATGTTGTCCCAAACCAGCAGCGGCCGCTGTTGGGCAGGCGGCCTCCTGTCTCGAACGGACACAGGCCGCGGCGGCGCGGACAGTGAGTCCTGTTCAAAATGAACGGGAACTGCTGTTGGCCATTGTACCCATCCTTTCCGTACCCATTTCGGGTGTCCAAAGACCTTCGCGCCCACCGTAACTGCCCGACCCGCCACCTTTTTGGACGTCCAAAAAGGGGGCGGGTCGGGCGTACCACAACCGTCTCCGTACCCACTTCGGGCGTCCGAAGACCTTCGCGCCCACCGGGAGACGGCCCCGGCCAGCGGCCGTGAGGTCCCTGGGCCGGTTCGCCGCTCGTGGCCGCCTCGCGGCCACGAGCGGCTCGCGAACCCGGGTCAGCCAGAGGGGGCCTTCGCAGGATCCTGAAGGATCCGGTGCCCTGGCTGATCCCCGTTTGCATTGACCCCCGTCTCGAGGCTCCCCACGCGCCCACCGGGAGACTCGGGAGACTTTCCATGGGGGGGGATCCCATGGGGGGGCAGGAGGTGATCCCCCCCATGGGATCCCCTCCTGCCCCCCCATGGGATCCCCAGGGGATCCTATGGGATCCCCCCCCTGGGATCCTATCCCCCCATGGGATCCCCCCCCATGAAGAGTCTCCCGAGAGACGGCCCCAGCCAGCGGCTGGGAGGTCCTTGGGCCGGTTCGCCGCCAGCAGCCTCTCCGCCGCCGAGCCGTGCCTCTCGCCCTTCGTCTCCTCGGGGGTCGCGCGGCCCCGCCCTCGCCCGCCCGGGCCCGCCTCCTGCTGCTCCTGGTCCTGCTCCCGCTGATGCTCCTCCTCGTCCTCCTCCTCCTCCTCCTCGTCCTCCTCCTCGTCCTCCTCCTCCTCCTCCTCGTCCTCCTCCTCCTCCTCCTCATTGCTGTTGCGTTGGGCGGACTGGGGCGACTGGGCTGGAGGGTTCTTGCTCCTCGTCCTCGTCCTCGTCCTCCTCCTCCTCGTCCTCCTCCTCCTCCTCCTCCTCCTCCTCCACCTCCTCCCCTTCCTCAGCCTCCCCAGCCTCAGCCTCATCCCCAGTCCCTGCAGAAGGCTCTGGGACCGCGCTGAGGCCAGAAAATGTCTCGCAACCTCTGCAAGGATCGAACAAACAACGGCATACCGACTTAGGCGCTGATAGCTGCACACGAAGCCCATCAGCAGGCAACAACAGATGGTGCGGCTTGGCGAGAAGAAGCGCAGAGAAGCCCGTGAGGGCGTAGAGTATGCACGCAGCGGGCGGCAGAGGAGGCGATCGAAACGAAGCCGACAGATAGCGAATAACATGGTCACCGCTGTTCCTCCTCCTCCTCAGGACCACAACTCCCCCAGTTGTGGCTGGCCTGTCCCCAGCCTCATCCTCATCCGCGGTCCCTGCAGCAGGCCCCGGGACCAGAAGGTGCACACGCCCAACCTTCACGAGCACCGCCGGAGAGCCTGTGTGCCACGGGCCCGGGGCTGCCCCGAAGCCCACCCAAGCCCACCCCCCGCCGCACTTGCCGTCGCTCTGACGCCCATTTCCCGTGCACTTGTCGGCTTCGTGCGCGTTTTTTGGGCTCGAGGGCCCAGGATGGTCCTCGCCGAGCAAAGTTGCACACGTCCGAGCGATGCCAAGCATCCCTCCTGCTGCTCCTCCTCCTGCTCCTGCTCCTGCTCCTGCTCCTCCTCCTCCTCCTTCCCCTCCTCCTGCTTCCGCTGTCGCCCCCGGACGTGCCCGCGTCGCGACGAAGATCACGACGGCATGCTTTTGGCCGCTCTCGGCCTCTGGGAGCGCTCGCCCTGCCCCGGGGGCCGACGAGAAGCGACTCGGGACGGCAAGAGCTGGCCCAGGGGAGAAAGGGGTCGGGACTTTCGGGGGCCCCGTCGAGTCAGCTCGGGCATGTCCTCCTGCGGGCGGACCCTCGAAGAACAAGAAAGAGTAGTCAGACCATCTTGAAAATAGTTAAGAGCAGCGCACGAGAAATCGTCCCCTGACCATCTTCTTCCTACTCTTGAGTACTCCTCCTGTAAGGGACATGCTCAACTCAACGCGAGCACCCACTTTTACGGGGACCCCGTATGGAAGAAAGCGGGCCATCGGATGCCTGGGACTCTTCCTCCTCAGCTTTCTCCTTCTCCCCTCCTCCCCCTCCTCGGCCTTCTCCTCCCCCTCCTCCTCCTCCTCCTCCTCCTCCTCCTCCTCCTCCTCCTCCTCTCCTTCTCCTCCTCCTCCTTCTCCTCCTCCTCCTCCTCCTCCTCCTCCTCCTCCTCCTCCCTCCCCCTCCTCGGCCTACTCCTCCTCCTCCGCCTCCTCGGCCTGCTCTTTGGCCGTTGTAGCAGGCTGTGGGGCCAGACTGGTCTGCCCTCCCACACCTTCACGAGCACCGCCTTCAAGGCTGGGAGAGCCTGTGCGCCCTACCAGGGTTAGGCCTATACCCTCAATCAGCAATCAGCAATACACTGCCTCAGCCTCCAGAGCTCCTCCTCCTCATCCTCCTCCTCCAGTCCTCCAGTCCTCCTCCTCCTCCTCCTGAGCCGCCTCCTCCTCCTCAGCCTCGGCGCGATCCGAGGTGCCTGGGCGCCCGAGCAGAAGCTCAAGGCGCCGAAGGCGAGGGTCTTTCCACCATGCCAGCTTCAAGACTCCAGCCTCCTCAGCCTCCTCCCTCTCCTGCCCGTTCCTCTCCCGTCCCCCCTGCTTCTGTCGCTCCCTCCCGGACTGCTTCTCGATGTGCAGATGCAGCAAAGCGTCCGTGATCCTCTCGACTTCGACTGCATCATGTTTGGCCAAACTCTGCATCTATTGCTCGGCAAATTCCCGCTCCTGCCCCTCCTCCCTCACCCCTCTTTCCACCCCTCCCCCCTCCCCGCTCCCTCATTCCCCCACTCCCCCCTCTTCCTGCCCCTCCTTCCCAATCCCCCATCCACTCCCCGTACCCATTCCTTTCCCTCAGCTTCCCTCATCCCCCCATTTCCCCCTTCCCCATTCGTGTTCCCCCTCCCTCCTGTAAGGATCCTGGCGGCGCCAGGCGCTGGGTTCGTCCCTGGGGTTGCAGCCTTTGGCTCGAGCCCATCCCTTCCCTCACTCCCCCCTCCCCCCCCGCTGCACCCCCTCATTGCCCAACCCTCCCTCCCTCCCCGCACGTCCTCCCTTCCCTTCCGGCGACGCGTGAGGCTGCGGAGGCGCCGCCCGAGGGGAGAGCGGCACGGCTCCACCTGCTACGGCGCCGTGGGGTGCGAGAGTCCGCCATCGAGGAGGTGCGCGAGCTCGGGCGGGCAGCGGCCCGCGCAGGGACCAGCCCCGGAAATGACTCCGGCGACTACGGCGAGGGGCACAACAGGGGCGGAGGAGGCCCGCCCGCCCCGCCTGCTGCGGATGCAGGCCGCATCCACATCCACACCCACATCCTTGTTCCTTATTACTAGCCGGCCGCTCTGCGGTTGATCGGGAGTTTCTGTATATAGAAGAAGGTGCGTGCGCTTGTTGGCGAGGGTGAGGATGAGGTCCTCCTCCTCCTCCTCCTCCTCCTCCTCCGGATCTGTCCGGATCTGTCCGGAAACGGTGCCGGAGGCCGCTCTGGGCTCCTCTGGGCACCTCCCCCGGGGCCGGTTTTGTGAGGATGTCTCAAGCGAGGGCGCCGGTTTGGGATTCGTCACCGGATCCAGCGGATCCAGCGGATCCGTCCGGAAACGGTGCCGGAGGCCGCTCTGGGCTCCTCTGGGCACCCCCCCGGGGCCCGTTTTGTGAGGATGTCTCCCGGGGGCCGCGGATCCAGCGGATTGTGCCGGAGGCCGCTCTGGGCTCCTCTGGGCACCTCCCCCGGGGCCGTTTTGTGAGGATGTCTCAGGCGAGGGCGCCGGTTTGGGATTCGTTCCAGCGGATCCAGCGGATCCGTCCGGAAACGGTGCCGGAGGCCGCTCTGGGCTCCTCTGGGCACCTCCCCGGGGCCCGTTTTGTGAGGATGTCTCAGGCGAGGGCGCCGGTTTGGGATTCGTCACCGGATCCAGCGGATCCAGCGGATGCGGAAACGGTGCCGGAGGCCGCTCTGGGCTCCTCTGGGCACCTCCCCCGGGGCCGGTTTTGTGAGGATGTCTCAAGCGAGGGCGCCGGTTTGGGATTCGTCGGATCCACCGGATCCAGCGGATCTGTCCGGAAACGGTGCCGGAGGCCGCTCTGGGCTCCTCTGGGCACCTCCCCCGGGGCCGGTTTTGTGAGGATGTCTCAAGCGAGGGCGCCGGTTTGGGATTCGTCACCGGATCCAGCGGATCCAGCGGATCCAGCGGATCGTCCGGAAACGGTGCCGGAGGCCGCTCTGGGCTCCTCTGGGCACCTCCCCCGGGGCCGTTTTGTGAGGATGTCTCAAGCGAGGGCGCCGGTTTGGGATTCGTCGGATCCAGCGGATCCAGCGGATCCAGCGGATCCGTCCGGAAACGGTGCCGGAGGCCGCTCTGGGCTCCTCTGGGCATCCCCCCCGGGGCCC